TCCATCTATAAAATGCTTCATACACTTTAGCACTCTGTGAAAAAGATTATTTACACTATGAAATAACAATAAAAAATCGTACATAGATATCAAAGACAAATTTTATTATGTATATACATATTATATGTAGCTCTTTTTTAATTTTCATCTTATATTTATTCTAAATAAAACATTACCTCTATCATATAATTCTCAGTACCGTCAGTACAATGAGCATAAAGTATAAGCAAGGCTAACACAATATGAATATAAAGAATTTGATTAAAAATGGAACAACTCCTACTATCTTACTCTTAGAAAGATTCTACTCACATAAAATTGAAAATTAAAATGATAGGACACCTAAATATATATAAAAATTTATAACAAAACAAAAATTTATGTTATTTCCTTATATTATACCATAATCGTTTTTAAATACGTTTTTAAGTATATCATACATTATGTTTATGTAATCATCATTACAATATCGACTTACCGTTAACTTTCGATAACCGAGAAGGCTTACAAGACAAGTAGCTTCTAAAAGATGCGTCAACAATGTTGGACTAAATGCTTTTCCTATTATCTTTCCTATATTGAAAAAATCCAAGTTATATAGACATTATTTATTTAAATAAAAGTTTTTAATAACAGAAGTTCATTCTAAATTTCAATTGTTAAGACAAACGGCTCTATCAAACGAATACAATCAAATATCTTCTTCGATTTTACGTATAATAAGTTTGGATATGTTAAAATATAAACAAAAATAAAACTTTTATTATATAAATTGTTTTTATATGCATAACTTATTAAAGTTGGAGGGTGACACTTAGTTGTGTTTCCCTTGTAAGTAAACAATCGAAAAAAATAAATAATTTATCTAATAAAAATCTTTATTTTAAGCAAAAAGTAAAAAAAAATAAATTTATTTAGTTTTCATTGAAATGTGAAACTCAAGGAGTGCTTTTAACAATATATGCTTTTAACTAAAGCGTCCGCGGATATATGCATGAGATCGTAACAATTGTACATGCATGAGTATCACGAGTCTCACCTCAGGCCCATAGTCACAGATCTCGGTATCTATGTATATTGTTAATGCGCAAAGAACCAACATCTGAATACAAATGTAAAAGACAAGGGTAATCATGATACAGGTTGCGATGCTTTGCTCCAAAAGCACTGATGAAGGCAAACAGCATTTGCCAGGCGTATGTAATCGTGTACGTACGTATATTCTCAATTGCGTAGAACAGATGAAAACGATAAGACAATAGGTAAATTATTTGAG